GCACACAGTCTCCATCTCCGTCTTTCCGGAGGCCCCCACCTAAGACAGGGAGGAAGCAAGGTTTGCAGTGTTCTTAAGAGGTGGACAGAGCTGGGCAAGGTAGTACACTCCTGTAATCCCAGCAGTCTCGGGAGGCTGAGGCAGGAGGAGTGCCATGAGTTCAAGGCAAGCTTGGGCTACATGGTGAGTTCAAGACCAGGCTAAAGTACATAGTGAGTCCCTGTCTTGAAAACCAAACCGAAACAAAATAAAATAAGTGAACAACTTTGGTCAGATATAGAAAAGACAGGCAGTAGACAAGCCAGTGACTAAATAGCCCTGGGTTGCCCATAATTACACCCCCATAATTCAATCACCTCCCCAAAGCCCTGCTTAATGGGCACATGAAAGTCTTGGGGGACATCTAGGTATAAACCATAAAAGATAAAGTTTGAAAGTCTGAAATCTCTGAACAGATAAACTAGGATAAAGTCACTAAGTTACTTAACTATGAGTTAAAAGGCTCTCCGTAGTTCCTTAATTTATTTTTTTTTCATTTAGAACCATGAATTGCTCTCCTACCCTCCTTGCTGGATTTTAATTACTTCCACTTTTGCATGTGGACAAGGAAGTAGCATGTGCCCCAGAACTAGACCTCATGTCTACCCACTTGGAGGTTAGGCCACACTCTTTCCAGTTAACGATGTACCTGATGGTCTAGGATATTCAAGAAGGCTCAGAAAAATTATGGTAAAATGAACCCAAGAATTCTCCCCAAAGTCCCTGAATTTTAAATGTGTTTGTTTGTGCACCATACAGATGCCAATGCCTTATAGTCTCTCTTCTCTGTCCATCATCCCTTTCACTCATAGGATGAAACTGCTCCAATGCATGAGTCAGAGAAGCACTGTACAATTATGCAGAGGTTCATAAGGGGTTGTAGAGGTTCATGCCACCTGACTCTGGCTTTATCAAAACCCAGTAGTGTCTTACAGAGGGTACCAGAGCACAGATGAGGACCATTCGGGACAGGTTCAGATCCTAGCTCTGTCATTTGCTAGCTTGTGAATCTGGGAAAATCATTTAGCTCCTCTGTGCCTCAGTATGCAAAGTGGAGATGACGACATTGGTGCCAAGCCCACAGAGCTAGTGTAAAGATTACACACGTTATCCCAAGCACTCAGACCAGTGCCTGTCATAGCACAACACTGTGCTGTTTGTGCTGGAAAGGGAACCCAGGGTCTTGCTTGTTAGGCAAGTCCTCTGTCACTGAACTACATCTGCAACCTCATACGTCTAATGACCAGGGACTGCACTGTGAGCAATCGTGAGCTCACAGACCTTGCAGTCTCCCTGCAGAGACCTTGGCAGTCACTTATGAGCATTTGGCTAGCAAGATAGCTCTTACTCCCACATTTTAAAGACAAAAGAACTATCCAGTTAGAGTTTCCAAGCTATAAATTGTTGTATCTTTAGACTCCAATTATTTTTCACCTCCACTCAGTTTTCTGAATCCCCAAATTTTACCTCCACATCCTACTTCAAATGGCTTGCTTTTCTTCCAGTCTAACTGTCAGCTTCCAGGTTCCAATTCTTATTTCATTTTTTCTGGTCTTGAACAACAGCCTCCTAACGGATGTACTCGTGTTCCTTTAGCAGATCAGAACCATCAATGGCTCCTCACTGTCCTTTGCAGTATTCTAGATGCTCCTGGCAGGCACCACACCAATGTTCTGTTCTTCTCTACCTTTTGCCAGCGGTCAAATTGGGTACTTTGCTGTTCATTCTTTCATCCGGCCAGTACTTATTGGGGTGCTCACATAAGACAGGCCCTGCTTTCCAGAAGCATGTTACATAAATAGAATCATACATTATGTTCTTGGGGTGGGGGTCTGTTTTCTCTCATTCTGCATAATTATTCTGTAATTCATCCGTATTGCGGTGTGCATCAATAACTTGTTCCTTTCTATGCTGAGCAGTATTCTGTTCCGTGGATAAACCACGTTTGTTAATTCATTCATCTGTTGATGGGCGTTTGGATTGCTTTCACTTGCTGGCCATTGGCTGTTCCAAATAAAGTTTCTACAAACATGTGTATGAAAATTTTTGTATGGATTTCATTTTGCTTGGCAAATACCAAAGAGTGAAACATCTGGGTCACATGTAACTATGTTTTACTTTTAAGAACTGCTGTTTTCCAAAATGTCTGTACCTTGTACATTGCTTCTGGCCATGAATGAAGGGTCTTGTTGTTCCACCCAAGAGGATTTTCTTCAGTAAGGCAGGAGGGTGAAAGTATGCATGACATTGGGGGGCAACATCTAATCCTAGTGACAAAAGCAATTGAGCAAGTTGAGTGAGAAGATTGCAACAAAGTAGAAATTTTGTCTTAGGCCAGACAGCTCATGGAGGACTTTGGTATTTGGGGGTGTACATTCCAGGCAGTGGGAACTCATGGTAGGCTCTGGGTGGCCCTGTCTTTGCACATTCCATGCAGTTTCCTGTCTTCTGACTCTTCCTTATACCGTTCTTCCTTAGAACATGTTCCTCTACAGTCTTGATAATGCCTATGAAAAGTTCAAGACCCAACTGAAATGCTACCTCACCTGCAAGTTCATCTCTCACCCTTCTGAACTTCACCCACAGCCCTGAGTTACACTGTGCCTCCAATTATAGGCGAGTCCTTTGTTTGTCCGAGGTCTCTGACAGCAGAGAGTGTGGCTCGTTCATGCAACACTGCCCATAAGCCCAACCCCTTCTAGAGGATGTATCTCTAGACACTTTGCTTCTGGTCTTTTTTTTTTTTAATGTAAAATCCAAAGTAAAATAACATTTTAAATCAACACAGGTATAAATCTCATTGCTCATTTTGCTGAGACCAAAATGAGAAGATGTGGGCCAATTCCAAGGAGGAAAAAAAATTACTCTGGCTCTCTCCCAGCTTCAGTTGGCTTAACCATCTCGTCCTCTATCCTTTGCTCTTTTATGCTCACCAGGTCTCCTTCACTCAAGTGTGGCTAATTATGTAATTAGCAAAAGAGCAACAATTGTGCAGAGAAAATGGCTATGTGTTTATGGAAGTTCAATGACTCAAAATGTCTCAGGAAACCATTCACTAAGGCCCAGAAAAAGAAAGCAGGACTGGGCCTCGGCCAACTCTCTTGCAGATCCAGGGGTGGTCGAGAAGTACCTGCCAGAAAGGAGACCATTTTGAGGCACTGCCCAGGGGTCAGATGCCCATCCTGGCTGGGCCGTGTTGCCTAATTCTCTCTCCTCTGTGTTCACTCAAAGCAAAATAATCAGCCAAAGCAGAGTTCTCAGGAAATGGTACTCACGTGGTTTGAAGCAGTCTGATCAATGACTTTGCTCAATGCACATCTTTTCCATCTTGTTCCCCAGTTTCCCTCAAGACATTAAAGTATTAAAGAACACCGAACCTAACTTTTATCCTCTGCAATTGCCATGATATCCAGGGGTGTCAGCCATGCCTTTGCCACCACTTGTTTTAGCAACTGGACAAGGAGTATCGATCAATACAGTGGGTGGGTGTGTGTGTGTGTGTGTGTGGGTGTGTGTTTGCATTTGGAATCTGTAGGTCGGTTTGTTCTCATGTCAGAGCTCTTTGCTTCCCCTGCGCCTGTACGCACACGCACAGGGAGGTGGTTCCAAACACCAGGGGACTCGCCTGTGTTTAGTGTTGTTCACCAGGCAAGCGCCAACAATACTTGGGCCAGATGGCTGGCTGCTTTATGAAACTCCCTTTTAAAAGTTCGATGGCTCTGACCCTGAATCAATCTCCTGAGCATACCAGAGGCCACTGGGACAAACTGCATTTCATAACCTGTTTTCTACTGGTTGAAAGTCCATGAGACTCTGGCAGGATTTCCTCTGGGGTCTCCCCTGGACACCTTACCTGGCTACTGCTGGGCTGTCTTGTTTTGTTTGCCACCAAAGACAGAAGATGAGAGAGGAATGAGGCACCATGGATGTTCCTTTCCTTCCGAACAAGCAGAGGGAATGGAGCTGGTGGGCTTGGCTGGGGCAGGCTCAGGGATTCCAGATGAGAAGACCAGTGGCGATGTTCTTCTCCATCCTGGAGTGGCATGAGCTCTCAGTAGAGGACCTCATCTGTTTTGCTAAATTGACAATTTCCTTTAGCAGGAAATAAAGGCTCATACTGAGTTTCAGACTAACTACACAGTAAGAAATAGCTTCTATTTCTATTCTTTTTAAAGACTCTGCCTTTTAAGACATTCGGTATGTAACCTAATTTCGTTTGATGGAGTTTGTTTTCCCTTCTCCATTTGCTGCCTAGAAATGTGTTTCATTATCTCCCGCAGAACTGGGGCTGGGAGGGAGAGCTGGAGAGTCAGAGTTCCCTGGGCCTGAAATGTACTGAAAAAAAATAAAGGAAAACTATTAAATACAATTAAAAGAAATTACAAGGGCAGCAATCCCAGTGGATTTTCTTTCTCAAACACTTCACACCCCCCAGCTGTCCCATTAAGGGGCACTTCCTGGACCCTTCAGGTTCCATTTCTCGAGGAATGGGAAAAGAGCAGATTCAAGAGAGCAAGAGACTCTGGGCAAGGTGGCACATGCCTGTCATCTCAGGTACTTGGGAGACTGAGCCAGAGGGATCGTGACTTCAAGACCAGCCTGGGCAACTTAGCAAGACAAAATTAAAAATAAGAGCAGTGGCAGAGTGTTCCTGGGTTTGATTCCCAGTACCACCATCTAAAAAAGCAACAGACAATACAGATTTCATTCAAGGGAAAGCAGTTTTCATTGGAGAAAAAAGTTTCAAGCACTTGTCTCCTTGTGGGATATAACATTCACCTTTTGTTTTAGATCTTAAAAATTGAAACCTTCTAAAGCATTCTAATGTGAAGACAGGATTTTATCATTAAAAAGTAATTACAGCAGAATATGATTTCCTGGAATAAAAAGCACAAATTGAGAATTCTCTTTTTGAATACTGCTACGAAATTAGTTGAGGAAAGACACAAGCGACAGGAGGAGGTCAACCTTTTAATGGAGAAATGCAATCAAGCAGGTGTTGTGGGGGTGAAAAGACATCCACGGCTGGGTCTCAGAGCACAGAGGTGTCCCGTGGTTCCGGGTGCCCTCAGCAGGCAGAGATGAACTTACTTGATGTCGCACAGAAGGGCCACGCCTCTCAGGATCCAGTGATCCGGGGACAGCACAGTCCGCAGGTACACTACCGTGATGAAGGTCAGGTCAGTTCGCTTGGGTTTCTTGTAAACGGGACACACGTACAGCTTGGGGTCCTTGGGCGCTGTGGAGTTAATAGCGAAGACGTGCAGCACCGGCAGCAGCGTAAAGAGCACCTTGGGGGTGGACTCTGTGAGCTTCCCGTTGCGCCTGTCCCAGGCTGCCCCGTCCAGGTACAGCCCGTAAATGTACACACCTTCCTGGAAGAGCCAAGTGTAAAGGTGAAGGATTAGAAAATATATAGGTGCTTAAGACGGGCACCCGTTAATGTCACACTGGTTGTCAGGTAGGCAAGAAAATATATGCCAGTCTTAGAATGCTACTAGATGAGGGATGCCCGGCCCTGCAGGGGAGCGTCAGAGCGCCCCCAGAGGCCGGGCGTGGTACAGCAAGGGCGTGAAGGGGCAAGGCCTGGACTGCAGCATGGCCTGTCTTCCCCAGGGTCTCTGCAGAACAACAGGACGTGCCCTGTGCTCCTCACCGTCAAATCGGGGAGACAGGACACACTGGTACAGGAGACGTTTTTAAAAGACCTGAACTGAACGGCAGCATCCACTTGTTACTGGGGCTGCCTGATGAACGGCTGGAGGCGAACGCTCACTGTGGGCTTGGGCTGGGCGCCCAGGGCCTGTGCGGAGGGGTGGCCCTGAAGTGGGCCCTGAGCAGTGGCTGCGTTTGGACAGGTAAAGGAGAGATGGTAGGCATCCCAGACAGGAGCAGAACTGCAAAGAAAGGCAGAACGGGCGAGAACCCCAAGCAACTTATTCAGCAGGAGGTTCAACAGTTACAAGTTAGGAGTCGGCCATGGAGGAGTCCAGAGGCCAAGCTGAAGGGTCTGAACCCTTAATCTGCAGGCAGTGAGCCACAGAACACTGGACTAGAAAAAGGAAGGCTGTGGGGGGATGGAGCTCATAAAATATATTTATGGAGAAGATGGTACCCTTTTTCCATTTCCAGTGAGGATCGGTAAAGAGAATTAAATGCAGATTAACATAAAGGACACGGAGATTAGTTGCAAAGGGCTTTCTGGAATGCCCTCGTGTGGGCTCCCAGCCTGAAGACCATGTCTGAATCACAGAGGCATGTGGCTTGACAGCAAAATCTTGGGCAGCCTCAGAAAATCCAGACATGGAGTTCCCATCATTAGCCTCGTGCTTGATAATTATCTACATGAACAATGTGACCATCCAAGAACCATCCCACTTATAGTAAACCCTGTCCCTCTCTAGGGTCCTTTCAACCTCAGAACCTTAAAAAAGTCAAGAGTTAGAATGAGATATCTTTTCTTTTTTCTTTTTTCTGGTACCGGGGATCGAACTCGGGACCTTGCACTTGCGAGGCAGGCACCGGAACCACTGAGCTAAATCCCTGGCCCAAGAGTTAGAATGTGTGGCAGATGGAACAGTGTCGCGCCCCAACTTAGGGCCATTCAGAAGCTCAGAATGAAACCATTTGGAATGGGGACTTCACAGATGTAACTAGTTTAGATAAGGACACACCAGGTTAGGGTAGGCCTTATACCCAACATGACTGGTATTTTTGTAAGAAGAGAAGCCGTGCAGAGATACACAAAGGACAGAAGGTGTGACAATGAAAGCAAAGATTGACAATGACCAACAATCACCAGAAGTAAGAGAGAGGCACTGAATAGGATTGTCCCTCAGAAAAAGGATCCCCCAGGTGATGTGGGAGGTCATCCCCAGCCACCGTGACAGTTTCAATGGGCCACCTGACCTCTGCCTAATGCCTCAGGGGCAGGACCCCTGCCTAGAGCTGCCACCCCAGCAGCCTACAAGACAGAGGAGGACAGAACCAAAGAGAATTATTCCAAGCCTCATTAGCTAATGGAATTTGTCTTGCTAGGTTTTGGACTTCCTTGGACCCACCGTCCCTCCTTTCCCCTTTATTTCTTCTTTTCGGAGTGGGGATGTTTCTCCTGTTCAGGCCCCATCATTGTATTTCAGAAGTGCATAATTTGTCTAGATGAGGCTGAGTCGGGATGGAATGAATGTATTTTGCATGTGAGAAAGACATGAATTTGGAGTGGAGCAGAGATGGAATGTCACTGACGGAGTTGTCCCCCCCCCCCACATTCTTACTATGTTGAAGTCACAAACGTCAGTGTGGTGACATTTGGAAATGGAGACCTTGAGAGACGATGAGGTCATGAAGGTGGGGCCCTGGTCTGATAGGATTAGTTCCCCTGTAGAAGAGATGCAAGATAGCTTGATCTCTCTCTGTGCCATGCGAAGATTCAGCAACAAGGCAGTCAGGGTAAACCAGGAAGAGAACCCTCACCAGAAACTGACCATGCTGGCTCCCTGCTCTCGTACTTCCAGCTCCAGAACTGTGAGAAAACAAATTTCTGTTGTTTAAACAACAACAAAAATCCTCCCTCAGAGACTCCTTCTAGAAGAAACCAACACTGTCCATACATTGAACTGAGGACTTCTGGTCTTTTGAACTGCAAGGGAACAAATTTTGGTTGTTCTTAGCCACCCAGCTGGTGAGGCTTTATTACAATACCCTCAGGAATCAAATACAGAATTGTATACCTGGAAGCAGGGTGATGCTGTAACCAGTACCCGCAAATTCGGAAGTGACTTGGGGTCTGCATGGTAGGAAGAAGTCGGAAGAATCTTAAGACATATGGTTGAAATAACTCAAATTACCTTAAAGGGAGGTTGGTGGAAATACAGAGGCTAAGGGTATTTATCATAAGGTCTCAGATGCAATAAGGAATATGTTATTGGACACTGGAGGAAGGATGGTCCTTGTTATAAAGTGGCAGAACACATGGCCAGAACTTGGAAATCATCTGCTCCGACCCATTATTTGAGAAACTAGGGGATGAAAGTCAGAGAAAGAGAAAACAGGATTAAGATGTACCACATGTCTGGGTGGGTCCTGCACCAAGCCTGTAAGATAGCACTTAAATCTCCCAACTTCCTTCAATGAGGCTGTACTGTCATAAGGGGTAAAGAACTTGCTCAGGTTCATTGAGCAGATCAGTGTCCAAGCAGTGGCTCCCAGTGGCATCTGCTTATCTCAGGGCATCTGTCCTCCCCCAGCCAGGTATCTTTCCATCCCAGGTCCCAGAGCTACAGAGGGACACTCCACACTACTTTGCTACCACAGGTGATTCTGTGTGACCCATAGCAGTAGCCTGAGATGTGTGGAAAATCCTTTTAATGTAACATGAACTTCACTTATAATTATAAACACAGAGCGGGTTGTAGTGGTGCATGCTTGTAATCCCAGCGCTCTAAGGCTGAGGCAGCAGGAAGATCACAAGTTTGAGCCCAGTCTGGGCAACTTAGCAACTTAGTAAGACATTATCTCAAAATTTAGAATAAAAAAATACATAAAAAGGACTTGGATGTAGCTCAGTGTGAAGACCCTGGGTTCAATCTACAGAATTTAAAAACAAAAATAAAAGTAGTCTGGGGAGTTGTAGGGCTTATAGGCCTTGCCATTAACCTCTTACTCTGGGAGATGGAAGAGGCTTTGGTATTAAGGTCTCCTGGTTACAATGGAGGAAACCTTCACCACAAAGCAGACAGAGTTAACTGGGGTACTCAAGGTTGGTTTTAGGCAGAACTTGAACTTCCACCCCCAGGTCCAGAATTGTTCCGGTAGCACCTACCACAGGGGGTGTCGTGATCTCCTCCTTGGTCTGCCGCAGAACTTCGTTGTGGATGGTTACGGTGTCCAGCGCCCAGCCTTTGTGGGCACGGGTCACTTCCTGCCTCATGGCTGTGAGGAAGCCTAAAGAACAAAAGGCAAGAGCTTGTTGCTTTGGTGTAGCCCACATTAGAGACAAGGGGGAAGCAATGTTAAGTGTTATTTGCCGACCAATTGCCAAACCTCATGCCCATCCCAAGGGGAGCGGAGACCAAACCCCAGGGGCCATTTCTCCCAGTGTTTTGTTTCTATGGGGACTGCAATGAGGTAAATCTTTCCTGGCAGCTGACAGCAGAAGAGCGCTCTTTCCGCCTTACCCTGGGGCCTTGGTTTGAAAGTCTCCTGGGATTCCAACTGCTCAAGTCCTATAAGGGTCATAACCCACTCTAGCTCACAGACTCTATTCGAAGACAGAATATGGAATGTGTGACCAGAATGGTGAAGTATTCTGAGAAACAGCATTCCAATTAAACTCCAATCAAACCATTATCAAGCTTCTATTTGCTATAATGGAACAATTTCATTTAGTCTAAGGAAATAAGGCATAATGCCATAATAGGAAACCTGACTTTCAATTTGATCAAACAAAGCAATCACACCGGAAAGGAAAGCTACATGTTTCAATGTGCATAATACAGTTATTTTAAGATAATACGTGGCTCCGTATCTTGTGGCCTTTCTTTAAACTCAATATTTGCAAATCATGCCATTCAATTCAATAAGAGAAGTCTTTCTTGGAGAGTGGCATTTTCTATTAGAAAGAATACCTTAAATTTCCAAATGGACTTTAGGTTTCATCTGTGACCTGTGTATTATAGTTCAGCCTCCACGTAAATATTGCAAAAAATCCCCATGTAAATATGAGGCTTTCTGGTGAGTAAACTTTTGGAGTGTGTCCTTGCTTCTAATAAATAGTGAGTGCTGAAAGCCACACCAACACATAAGCAATAACATGTTACTGGGCTTGGATGGGAGTCCGAGGAAAGAGAGGATTACAAGGTATAATCCCAAGCACTGAGTTAATATTCCTTAGAGATGGGAAGAAAGGACAGGACCCCAGTCTGGCTTTACCCCCGCCAAGTTCTCCCTGTCCCTAAATTAGACATGGGGAGAAGCACTTGTGTGGCCATTTCTTCCATTCATCTACTCTCCGTACAGTGTGTACCACTCTGGGTGGGATGGCCACAAAGATGAAAAGGCCATCCACTGACCCTGTACTGAAGCTCAGTCTACAGAGCCAGGGACAGTGGGGCATGGCTGTGATGCCGGCCTAGTAAGGAGGCTAAGGTATAAGGATCACAAGTTTGAGGCCAGCCTGGACAACTTAGGAAGACCCTGTCTCAAAATTAAAATATTGAAGAAAAGGTCTGGAGATGTAGCTCAGCAGTAGAGCCCTTGCTGAGCGTGCACGAGGCCCTTCATCCAATCCTGCAAAAGAAAAAAAGAGAAGAATAGAAAAGCGTTGCTCAGTGAGGGCATGTGGAAGGAGGCGGGGCATTAGCACAATGTTGTTATGAACAAAGGTGTGAGCAAAGCTCAAGAGGCAGCTCAAGGAAGGTTTAATGGAGAAGACAAAGTTGAATGCAACTCTTGAAAGACGCGTAGGACTTTGTCAGAAGGGTCAATTTTCACTAGAAGAAGAGCATGTGGAATGGCACAGAGGGCTAGGCTAGTGGGGAGGTGATGCAGACAGGGTTGGAACCATGGCAGAGGCATGGCTTCTGAGGGTCAGACCCTGCCCTTGCTTTGGACTTGATCGGGTGCATGGCAAGAAGCCACTATTTCCAGCAGGCAGATGATTTAGTTGCTCGGGCATCTTAAGAAAGCTTGTTCAGAGCACCATTAAAACTGAATTTGGGTGCTAAAGAGGAGCCCTTGAATTAATCCAAAAGAAAAGTTGTCAGAGTAAGAAAGGATGATTTTATGATACAAAATGCTAACTTCTGTTAACAGGAGACATGGTGGAAATCTGGCTGGAGCAGCTGCTGGTCATTGCCTGTACTATGCATGGAGTTCTTTGGGGGCCCTGATTTTCAATGTAATCAAACAAAACAATGATGAAATCATGATCAGCATGTGGTTAGGTTGACTGCCATTCTTGGGGTCTCATACTCCAGTAATAAAACATTTTGTGTGTTTGCCAGTCAGTGGTATACACGACCACAATAATAAAATCCAATTCACCTTTCTATGTCACTCCATGAAAATATCACCTTCATCATTCAACATTAAGTTTTCGTCCATGTGGTGTATTAGACACTATATATCCAAACAGAGTACTTGGAATTAAATTGACCCCATTTTATGATATTTTAAAATTCATCACTGATCTATGAATCCATAAGGTCATAAAGCATAAGACATGAATCCTGGTCTTAACCATCCATCTGCACAAGTTAAATACTTGAATTTTTCTAAAACTGTTTTAAGTTCCAACTAAATTGCAAATTTGACCTCACTCCATATGGCTCACAGGACAATGCCAGAGGTGCCAGATGAAGAGTGAGCTAGATTCTTAGGAAGGCATCTGCTTCATAGATGTCGTCACTGTCGAAGAGCTCTGAAAACCCTTAGTACCATTAAGGAGAGACCAAGCCTTCTCATCTTCTCCTGCTGGGGAGTGTGCAGGTCTCCTAATCCTCAGGAAGCATGCCTAGTATGCCAGCAGGTGGAATGCAGAACAGTCAGCTTGATTTGCCAAGAGAGGAAAATATCAAATGACTATATTTGAGGCCTGAGGGTAGAAGGTAGGGAATTGTTCCATGGGCTATTCTCATTCAGAGAACATGAAGAAAACATGTATGTTTTCAAGTCTTGATAATTTTGATTTGGTTTTCTAAAGAGAACATCATCTGTGGGACTCAAGGGGTAGTGAATCTACTAAAATGTTCATTGATGAATTGAAAAAATATGAATGACCGTCTTTCAAAGACTGGTTCCAGGTCTAATGGAAGGAAAATATGTTTTTTCTAAAGCCTGTATAATTTGTTAAAGACCATGGATACAGTTTTCCTCATAAGAGCTTAGAAAATAAGTGCTTTTGGGGGGGCACAAATTTAGTTTTAATCATTTTTAAAGTGGTAGTAAAGTGATCCATTTATTCATATGTTTGAAGGAAGAAACAAAGAGTTGGAGAAAGTCTTCAACAATAATAACCCATTCTTCCTGAGTTTAACCTCCCACATGAACATGGGTGATTTGACTAAACATCTGAGTCACAGGTGGTCCAATGAAATGCTTACAAAAATTTTTTTCCCTTGAAATTCATAAAGCATAATGAAGTCTTAAAACACTTGTCAAGCTTGTTCTTTTTGAAAATTTCACTTTTAAACTAGGATTATACTTCGGAAACTCAGGTCTAAAGCAACACTTGTTATGTCTTAATTCCTATAATAGTAGTACTCCAACATTTCAGCAAACTCATTCCTGTTGTTTGACTGGTGCAATCAGCTGGCTTAAAGAAAGCGGTGGTGTGCTTTCAGTATCCTTTCATACAAGGTCTTTGGAAGGACGAAAGAATAGCTAATCAGAAAGGCTGCTCTTCTCAACTTTAAAAACAGGTGGTTGGTATTCTGTAGCGATGGTCCTATAACAAAAATTGGCAACATGTTTTTCTTTAATAAATGAACTGGTCCTCCTGTAATGGGCCTTAGGTTGCGCAGTATTTCCTGTCTAAATAGTTACCAAGCCTCCCAGGAGCATCTTCCAAGATGAGGAGAAATGATGTTCCTGACATGAGTTTATGACAAGTAGTTTTTTCCCCAAATGAGAAGCAAATGTAGTTTATTGCTAAGTTAAATAAAGGTCAGAAATCATTAAATGAAGATAGGGTTGATCCACGCAATTGAACAAAAATACACCAGGCACCAGTCCCGACTTTGCTGAATGCTATAAGGCAAGCATCTGAAAATGCTGAAAATCAGAGCCACGGGGAAGCTTGTAAAACTCCCGGACCACAGTCCAGATCAAAAAGGTCAAGGGCCAGAGATTTAGCTCAGTGGTTCCGCTGCTGCCTCCCTTGCAAGTGCAAGGTCCTGAGTTCGATCCCCGGTACCAAAAGAAAAAGAATCTCTGGAGGCACTCCTGTTGATTTAACACAGGGTTTCTTCTCAAATGCTCATGCTCACAGAAGGGGCTCTTATTAAAGTGTGGGTTCTGATCCAGAAGAAAAGACCTAAGTGTGAGGCCGATGTTCCTGGCTGGAAGATACCATACCAGGTAGGAAAGCCTAAGGTCAAGGTTCTGCACACATTTGCATGTCTCATGGAGCTTCCAAGAAAGCTGCTTGTACAGATTCAAGAGGTTTCCTCCTTGGAGACCATGACATAATTGACTTGGGGCCCCAAGCACTATGTATTAAATGTGCCCCAGGTGACTCGACTGTGGAAGGCAGGTCTGGAAATGACTGCTCTGTAAAAATACTATGTGAGATGGGTCACAGTCACTGACCCACATCTGTTTAAAGAACCAGTTTGACAAGTGGGAAGGGCAATGCCTGGGACTAAAGTAAAATAACAGGAAGGCGTCAGTAGCATGAGCCAACTCCTTTCAGAGCCCCCTAACATAGATACACACGTTGTATAACATGTTATTAATCCAGGAGACAACTGGTGCCAGCGAAACCTTAGTACACCCATCACTATACACCTAACAAGTGTCCTGTTCTGAAATGCAATTCCCCGCACTGATCTATCTTCTCTTGTGCTACTTTATGCCTCTTTCACTTGACACCAAATTCCATTTCTTCCCACCCTCCTAAACTTTCCCACTACTTCCTCTGGCATGGTTCCACCTCCTCACAAAACATTCTCTCTACCTTCCTGTCCTTACAGGAACCTGGCTCAGTCCAGAATACCCTGCCCTCCACAACAGATCCTTATGAGAATCTCCACCACAGACAACCGTAGCCTCTGGCCATAGGCTTCCATCTGCCCCTAATCACTGAGCACTCTGCCAACATCTGGGTCTCTTCAGTACCACCCCACCTGCACTTGGCCTCCCTGCTCCTTGACCTCATTGTTTTTAACTCATCAACTCCCCACTCTGTCCTCACTTCCTTTCCTGATCAGTCTAGATCCATTCTT